ACAATAGTATTGTTAAAAGAGAAGTTTATATAGTTAATTAAATATTTTTTAAAAATATCTTATAATTCACCAGGCTGATTTTAATAATTCAATTATTATTAAATTTATTTCAATAAGCTTTACAACTTCAATTAGAGATCTAAAGATAATTAACTTAATACAAAAAGTTTTAAATAGAAATAGCTCATATTCTAAAAATCCTAATTTCTATATATAAACTATATTATATTATACTATAATTGAGTAGTAAATCACTAATTAAAGTAAAATCTATTAAAAAAAATTTTGTCGATATAAAATATAAATAGTTAGTATTAGTCTTAAAATATTATTTGTAAGAGTATAGTGACTTAGTAAAGTAATGAAAGTATTGTACTCCAAATAGCATGTTTCAAAGTTTAAATTTTACTATTAATAAAATTTGAATATTCTCATATGGGCTAATTTGTGAAATTAGCTAATAATTTTTGATCTATAGTTTGTTTCTAATAATTCAACTATTAAAATATTTGTTTTAATGAAACAATTCTAATAAGTCTAAAATCACAGAATTTTGAGATCATTCAAATTTTGTATAATTTTAATAAAAATTTTAAAATTATATCAAAAATAGTTTTTATAGTAAATAACTTTTGATCTACTAGTCTGTTTTAGATGATTTAACTATCAAAACATTTGTTTTAATGAAAAGATTCTAATGAATATAAAATTATTAAAATCTAATCACAAGATTCCAAGATTATTAAAAATTAGTATATGTGTAGACAATTAATGAAAAATGGTTTGTATATATAAACTTCATATATACAATCTATTTCTTTGTTGATTGTTTATACATATACTGATTTTTGACAATCTTAGAATCTTGTGATTAGATTTTAATGATTTTATATTTATTAGAATTGCCTCATTGAAATAAATGTTTTGGTGGTTAAATTATCTAAAATGAACTAATAGATCAAAAGTTATTTACTAAAAAATTATTTTTAATACAATTTTAAAATTCTTATTAAAATTATACAAAATTTAAATAATCGCAAAATCTTGTAATATGATTTTGACAATTTTAGACTTATTAAAATCGTCTCATTGAGATGAATATTTAATAGTCAAATTATCAAAAACAGAGACTCATGGATCAAAAGTTATTGACTAATTTCACAAATTAGTCTATATTATATGTATTGTAAAATAGTTATTGTTTCTTACCAATTAGTTAGATTTAAAATCAGTAACCAAGGTTATATCAGATATTTGAAAGAATTATCAAATATTCATACAATATATAAGTTATATAAAAATATACAAACCAGTATTAGTTAGTACAAATTCATAATAAATTCTAATAAACTATATAAAATCAAAAAATCAGAAAGATGAATATCTACTTGGCAAGTCTTAAATAGAAAAATAGCACAGATCTTTAACAGTATTCATCAGCAAAAAAATAGACTACTATATAGTATTTACTAATATCAGCAAAATTTTTAAGCAAATATATCGATATATAGCAGTTAATTGATATATAAGGTGAAGTAGGATATTCTGGTATGGGAGATAATGTGGCACACTGGAGTCTTTTTAAAATATCTCGAGATACTCTGAACAAAATCGAAAAGTTTTATTACTATTCGATTCATCTTACTGAGATGAATCAAATAATATAAAAATTTTTTGGATTTAATTGCTAAAATACAAGATTTAAATAAAAGTCGATATTTCTTATGACAATATTAAGTTTCTTTTAATTTTTCCTCATTTGGGTAATGTCTAGAGGACGGATGCAGTAATACAATACAAAATATATAGTGATATATAGTACACTATAATACCCCCAAATGTAAAAAACATAACATTTTTGAGTAGATTTTCAATCTTTTTTTTTTTAAAAATCGATTTTTTTTTTATAATTAGTTAGTAAATTAATAGTTATTTTATTTCACTAAATTTTAAAAATTAATATTAATTTGTAAAAATTTAATTGACAACGTAGCTTAGATGCGCCAGAATACCCTACTTTACCTTATCAATTAAAGATTAATAATATATATTGATTAATTGCTATATATCGATATATATTACTAATAATAAATAACAATTATTGATATATAATTATTATAATCATAGTGTTCAAAATAATCTGGCTTAAATGGGCTTATAAGCTGTATAATCTAAAATATACAAAAATTATACAAGGGTGTATATACATGCATAAATTATGCAAGGAATGCATAATATGCAAAGGTTATATAAAGAGTATATAAATATATAAAAATTATACAAGTGGTGCATTATGTATGCAGAGGTTATACAAGCGGTGCATATATATGCAGGGGTTATGCAAGGGGTGCATAATATGCAGAAGTTATGCAAGGGATATATAAGTAGACAAAAATTATGCAAGAGGTATATTATATATATAGAGGTTATGCAAGAGGTGTATAAGTAGACAAAATTATACAAAAGATACATTATGCATGCAGGGTTATGCAAGGGGTGCATAAGTAGACAAAATTTATGCAAGGGGTGCATTATGCATGCAGGGTTATGCAAGGAGTGCATATTTTACAAAAATTTACAAAGTTTTTATATATTTAATATAATATTAAATATATAAAAACTTTGTAAATTTTTGTAAAGGTGTGGCAACTTAGTAAAGTGGTAAAGTTGTCACATCCCCAAGCAGCACGTCCAGAGTTCAAATCCCACTATTAATGAAATTTGAATATTCTGTTGTGGTACGTTTACTGTTTCTTGTTGATCAGTTGGATTTAGGATCTGTAACCAAGGTCATACCAGATTTTTGGAAGGATTATTGAATTCTGATAAACTATATGAAACCATGGAACTGGAGAGATAGATATCTGCTTGGCAAGACCCGAGTGGAGAGGTAGCACAAACTTTTGATGGTACTATGTAAAGAGTATTATTAGGAAAAACCGGAAAACTGAACGGGACTGAGATGTATAGCAAAAGTATCCCACCAACCAGGCCGCCGGGCTAGAAAAAAAGGATCTGCTTAATTTGTAGTTACCAGAAGATTGGTAACTTTCAGGTAAAAGTTCCTCCTAGGCCATCTGAATTGGTAGTTCAGACTAGCCATGTTAAACTAGGAAAACTAAATAGATGAAATGTTTGAGGAGATATTTCTACCAACCAGGCTGCCAGAACTGAAGAAAAAAGATCTGCTTAATTGCAAATACTAGGAGACCGGTAACTTTCGGGTGAAAGTTCCTCTTGGGCCATCTGGATTGGTAGTTTGAGATTCGAGAAGTACTTCTAATAGTCTGTAAAGTGGGTACTGAGATTTGGGTGAACTCTACAAGAGCAGAAATAAGTAATAGTAGCAGCTTTAGCTCACAAATACTTGTCTTCAGACTCGGCGTAAGTTACCAAAGTCTAGGTTGGCCGGATTGTGGATACAGAAAGCTCTAGCAGGTTTATTTCGAGGACAAAGGGCTCACTAGTTGAGCCTGCTTTAAAGTCCTAAGTTGAAGTTCTTAAGAGTATACTCTAATTCGGTTATATGAAAAGATTGACCCATATATGGTACAGAGAGTTTAAATAGATAACCCCCAGTTGGGTTGCAGGTATAGCATCTAGTGTAGAACTTAGTAATAAGCGGACTACTTAAATAAGCAACCAAAAGTTGTATGTGTGGCTAATATGTACCTTTCAAAAATATGTATACTGTACAGGTGTCAAAAGGGGCTTAGCGTATAGTAAAGTTAATCAATAACTGAATAAAGAAACCTGACCAAGAGGTTATCTTAATATTAAGTAAATTTTGTAAAATATGCACTCTTTGCATAACCCTGCATGCATAATACACCCTTTGCATAAATTTTGTTTACTTATGTACCCCTTGTATAACCCTGTATACATAATACACTCTTGTATAATTTTTGTCTACTTATATACCTCTTGTATAACCCCTATATACATAATATACTCTTGCATAATTTTTGTCCACTTATGCATCTCTTGTATAACTTCTGCATATTATGCACCTCTTGCATGATCTCTGCATATATATACACCTCTTGCATAACCCCTGTATGTATAATGTACCCTGCATAATTTTTGTATATTTATGTACCCTTACATAACCCCTGTATATTATGTACTCCTTGCATAATTTATACATGCATATACACTTTTTGCATAATTTTTGCATATTTTAGATTATACAGCTTATAAGCCTGTTTAAGCTAGATTATTTTGAACACTATATAATCACTATCGATTAATAATAATTTTATAAAATTTGTTAAATTTTTTGTTATATATCGTTAATAACTACTAACAATAATACCTAACAGTAGAGTTGTATATCAATTGTAATCTAGAGGATTACTATTGATATATAACACCTTTAAAATTTTGCTAATATAATCAGAGTAGATATATATCGATACTAATCACTCTTGTCGATTTTTATCAATTGTGATTACAATCGATTTATATCTAATTCGATTATAATCGATATATAGCCAATTTGATAGCAATTGATATATATCTAATTCAATAGCAATCGATATATATCTAATTTGATAGCAATCGATATATATCTAATTTGATAGCAATTGATACATATCTAATTCGATAGCAATTGATATATATCCAATTCGTTAAAAATCAACAGAAGTAATTAGTATTAATATATATTCACTTTGGTTAGTAAACAATAAAATTTAATAATGATCAATATATATTTAATTTGATATTAATTGATATATTTTAATAGTAACTAATAATTATTCAATGAGATTGCAATCAATATACATTCAATTCGATAGTATTTATTTAGAAACTTATTTAATAGCAATCTTTATTTAATTGAAAAAGTTATTAAAATAAAATTTATTAAAAGCAATTATAAATAATATTTATTATATATATAATACAAAACAATGCAAGTAGAATTATACATTAAAATATCAACTATTTTAAACTAATATATAAAAAAAAAACAAAAAACTATTTGCATAACTGTGTTATTAATCGACTTCAAATAATTTATCCTGTTTTTTTTGTAAAAGCATACCTAAAGATCTTTTGGAAAAAGATTCATATTCGGCCAAGATTGGTCTCAAATGTTCAGCATTATTAGAATATACTAGTTCACTATTATAGGAGTATACTGCAAGTTTACTATTCATGATTGATTCTACAGAATCATAACTGAGACTATTTTGTTTAAAATTATTCTATTTGAATACAATAATAAAGAATAAATATTAATATTATGTTTATTATAAAATGATGGCTAATACTTACCAAATATCATTCAATGCAATGTACAATCTGATCCTCCTTATACAAAACACTTTTTGACTATAGATTTAGTAGAATATTATATACTGCCAGAGTAAAGACATAATGATAGTTGGTCAAGTCTGTGATAGTAGTCATGCTGAAGATAATTCATGCAATGATACTAACTTAAAAAAACCTCTTATTATTCTTTTTAAAATGAGTGTGATAGTATTTACTAACTTGTAAACTTTGCTTCTACTTTACTATTTTATCAAGAGCTGCATTATTTTTAAGTAAAGAGAGATTTTCTTAACTGAAGATCTTTCAAATAAATGAGCAGACATTTTGCAATACTGAGCCATGATAATTTTTCATTTTTTGTAAAAGCTATTAAAAAAAATTGTAATATCAATATAAAACATTTAATAAATAATTATAATTATTTATATAAAAATTGCTTACTTGACTATACCAGCTACTGTAAAACTTGTTGGTAAACTTATTTTCACTTATACCTAATGTGAATTCAGAAAGATTTTCATTTAAATAATTCTTGAGAGCTTTCTTTAATATACTTTGAGTAGGATAAACATGTTGAAAAAAAGACATTTTATAATGCTAATATATATTTTCTACAAAATTATTAAAACAAATAACTTAAGTACATGTTCTACATATATATTACTCTAGTTATATTGATATCTTAATAAAAATAAAAAAATATCTGATATATTCAGATATTAGTTTAGCCAGTGATATTTTTATATTAAGTATATAGACATAAATTGTTAGATACTGATATATCTAGATATCGATATAGCCAGAGTGTTTTGTATTAACAAAATACTTATATCCAATACTTTGAGAGAAAGGTCCTTTTTTTGGTCCATCTTTTTATACTTTAGTTCCTTCTTAATATTGTGAATATCATTGCTTAACTTTTTAATTAAATGATATAGTTGCTAGTTTTGCTGAAAAAGTTGGTCGTAAATTTGGTAGCAGAGACCCAAACGCTCTTTAATAATAATAAATAATAATAAAAAAAAAAAATAAAAAAAAAAAATAAAGATCAGATATCTAAAAATAAAAAAAAAGGTTTATATATCATGATTAGAACAATCATTTTGTATTTAATTCTAATTAGAAGTTTGATAATTATGATCATATGATATAGATTGTGAGCTTTGCTACAAGAGTGAAACTAATTTATTTCATTTAACAGAAGATTGTGAGTGATATGAATGATATTTATTACAAGGTGGCAATTAATATTAAGAATGTTGTGAAAGAGATTGTTGTTGAGATTGGGTGACTTGACATATTTAAGATCAGTTTCTATCTCTTTTACTCATTCTTGTAAATATTCCCTATGCAATTCTAATACTTTTGACTAATAAATCTGAAGCTAAATCATCATCATAAGTATTATATAGTTGGTGTAAATCTGTAATATTTTGAGATGAATAAGAAGTAATTGATTAGTATCAAGTTGTATTGATAGATATAGCAGAATAAGAAAAGATATATTATTAGATAAATTGTTAATAGAAGGTAAAATGGTATTAAAAGGTAAAGTATTGTTAGTAAGCAAATTAGTAATAGATAGTAAAGCATTGATAGAAGATAAATTGTTGTTAGGAGATAAATTGTTGTTAAGAAATAAGTTTTTATTAGAAGTATTATTGATTAAAGCAGTAGAAACATTATTAGAAGCATTTGAAATATTATTAGAAGTATTAGAAACATTATTAGAAGTATTATTGATAGATATATTATTAGAAGTATTATTGAGAGTATCATCATTAGAAGCATTATTAAAAGTGTTATTGAGAGTATTATTATTAGAAGCATCATTAAAAGTATCATTCATTTTAAAAATTTTTCAAAGAAAACTCAAAAATATGTTTACCTTTTTAAATATAAGAATGGCTATATTTATACATATATGATATCTAAGAATTAAATAATAAGAGTAGATACAATGATATTAGTAATTATATAGAAAAAAAGCAAATATATACTTATTTTATTTTTTGTCTACATATATATGATGAAAATTTATTGTATATATCTAAGAATTAAATAACAAGAATTAATATATATTGATTTTAATCATTATATAGAAAAAATTATTTTATTTTAATATAAATAGTAAGAATTAATATATGATGATATTAATTATTATATAGAAAAAATGAATATATACTTACTTATATTTTTGTTAATACACATATAATAATGATTTATTATATCTAACAATTAAGTAATAAAATTAATAAAATGATATTATAAGCAAAAAAATAAATAAGCGAAATATACTTATTTTATTTGTTGTTTTGGTTATTTTATGTATAATGACAATTTACTATCATTATATATATACTAACAATTTTTGAGTTTTCTGCAATTAGAAAATATATCAAAATAATAATAGACATAATATAGCACTAGTTTTTTATTATAAAGCTATGTCATATTAACAATTATTATGCTTTGTTTTGATTGAAAAAAGAATCACTTAAAATCAATATATATTGTTTAAAATTATCTAAATTATATTCAAATCATTGCTTTTCATTATATTTTTTAGTTTCTTTTATTACTATTCTAATTTTAATTAAAGAATCACTTAAAATCGATTTATATCATTTAAAATTATCTATATTATATTTAAATTGTTGCTTCTTGTTATATTCTTTAGTTTCTTTTTATTACTATTTCTAATTTTGATTAAATAATTGCTTAAAATTAATTTATATTATTTATAATTATCTAAATTATCTTCAAATCATTGCTTCCTGCTATATTCTTTAGCTTCTTTTATTATAATTTCTAATTTTAATTCTTTACAATTAATATATTTCTTTATTTTTTATTTGTTTTCTTCTCTCTTTCTTTTTTATTCTATATTTACCATTTTTTATCTCTTTAAATCCAAAGCTATACTTTATTTCTTTTTTATTATTTTTCACTATTTATCAATATCTTGCTATTTTTCATTTTTTCATTAATTTTTATTTGCCTTTTTCATTCACATTCTTTTATTATTCATTTTTTTTTATTTTTCTAATATATATTAGTAGTGTAAATATTGTAATCAAAAATTTTCAAAATCTTATGCCTTAACACAATATATTTTGCAAAAATATCCTATCTCCAAGATACGACAAATCAATCTGTTAAACAAGTAGATGATGATATTTGGAATTTTTCAGATTATACAGTATCGGACAGCAAGAAACATCCAATTTTTTTTTAAAAGTGCCAAATTTTGAGATTTATACTCAAATCTGATTGGCTATTTTTGTGTAACAAGAATCTGATTGGTTAAAAATCTATAA